TGTTAAGTGAGCAGCACACAATTCTAGGACCTTTTTGCTGCAGTCGTTAATCATGCAATTGTGAGGCAAATCTGCCCGCCCCAGTTGACCTTGTCAGAAGCCACCTGGGAAGGTGTCTGTGGAGATTCTCCGTCCTCCAGGTCATGGTTGTCCCAAAGGTGCTTTTTTCAAGAGGCCACTGGACTTTCTGATTTTTCTTTGAAGGCGTTTTGCTTCTCACCCAAAAAGCTTCTTTAGAGCCGAAGAAACTTCTTGCATGAGAAGCGAAACATCTTCAGAGGAAAAAAAAACAGGAAATTCCAGTTATGCCTCTTGCAAAAAAAGCACTTTGGGGACCTGGGAAGGTGATCAATTACAATCCTCTGACTCCGGAATTCTGCCACCGTCAAAAAGACGTGCCAGTTAACCAAGCACCGGTATTTTGATCACGTGACTGCAGGAAAGCTGCGACGGTTGTAAATGCGAAGCCCACGCTTGAATTAATAAATTACTTTCTTCAGCACCATCGTAACTTAGCATGGTTGCAAGTCGAAGACTATCTGCATTGTCTGTGGATGTGGAGGTTGTGCCTCCACGAGATCACACAACGCTTCCTCTCTCCGGGATTTTGCTCCAACCCATCGCCACGATACTTGCATCGCACTGAAGGCGTCACACTGAACCAGACCCAAAGTTCACCATCCCTGCACCCACAATTCACAACGGCTGCTTGCGAACTCTTGGATTGTGCATCACTACATACAACAGGCTTTGGAGTTGAGAAGGTGGAGCCCCCTCCCCAGAGCAACACTGTAGAAGAGAACACGCCGGCAGATTCCTGGTGAAGCCAGGATCCAAATTGCTCCATCCTGAACCTGAAGGGGCCACTCTGCCCCCGCACCGTCCCCAGCCTGGGAAGAAAAACAAACACCTCCGACCGCTCCAGTCTCCGCAGCTTTTGAAATGTTACAGTCCAGCCAAGGTACCTATTTAAACTTACCTTTCCATAAACAAAGCGCAGCCTGCAGTTATCTCCTTTACAAATGAAGAGTGTTCACGAAAGAGCCCGTTCTTTTGCTCTCTCCCGGGGAGGGAATCGGAACCAGCCCTCCAGCCCCCACAGACTTTCACCCCATCGCCAAAGCCAGAGACGGAAACATGTCTGAATGCAACATAACAAGCGGAACAGGGAAGCAACATGTCCGTTCCTGCTCTCGATACACCAGTTCCCTACAGGTTCGGTTCCTCCGTTCAGCTCAGTGTTCCAGCTGGAGAAAACTGCACGTGTGAACGAACCAACGTTGGCGGATAAGGGCATTTCAGTTGGCCCAGTCAAAGGTCAAGCACCGAAGTGATAAAGTAGAAATGATTCCTGCCTAAAACTTTACAAGGCCAGTACAGTACGGTGTGGCACTGTGAGGTCTTTCCAAACAGGCCACAGCGCCCCCCCGCCCCCAAGTATTCTGCCAGCAAAGGCAGCACTTTTTTCAAGTTTAGCAAAAGTTGTTAATAACCCGTGGAAGGAAAGGAGCTCTGTGCAACAGAAAGCCAAAGAAGATGGTTTCATTTTACGAGAGAAAAGACCTGGAAGGTCCAAACGTTCTTTGGAGACTCCGATCCAGGAGGCTCGTGGGAGTCCTCCCTGGCTAAATGGCACCAACGTCTCCGGTTGAGCAAGGGGGTCCTCTCCAAATGGGACCTTGCCTAGACGACGGCAGGCAGACTCCTGCTACCCAGGTGCCAGCTGCACCTCACAAACTGTGTCGCCAGGCTGTGCAGAGGGGCTTCTTGTAACACAGCCGGACTATTTATCAGGCAGGCCTTGAAATGGTGCTCCTCCTGGTGCGCCGTAATGGGCGTTTTGTGTTCCTGGCTTTCCTGGGCCTTGAAGGGGTCAGCAAAGCAGCCCTCAGGTGCCTACCTTCCTCTTCCGATTGGCAGGTAAATAAACAAACCAGGAAGGATCCCGAAAGGCTTCCTTGGTGAGGAGAAGGTCTGAGGTGCCATTAAAAGGGGCAAAGGACACACAGAGACAGCTTCTCCCAACACTCGAGCCAAAGAGAGAACTTTTTCCAGATACTCCCAGCAGATTCTGCCCCATAAGAAATCAGCCTTGCTCCAGCAGGTAGCAGAGAGATGCCCTATAGTCCCTCTGCATCAGCCCCCACCCCCAAAGTCCAGAGGGGACAGAGTGAGGAGGAGGAGGAGGAGGAAGAGGAGGAGGAGAAGGCGGGAAATGGTTTAAGCACCAAACAAAGAGAAAGAGGCTCTTCTGGGCCCAGGTTTTGCCTTGGCCACCCCTTGCTTCCGCCCTCCACCCAGCCCGCCAGCCAGCCACATCGGGGACCGCCATGGCAGCCCACTCCCCTCACCTTCTGTCTCACCCGAGACCCCTTCTGTTCTGCTTGGGTCCGCTCGGCCCCTCCCCCCACCTGCTCCGCCTTGCAAGGAGGCCCCCAGCCCTCTTTCCAAAGGCCGGGAGGAGAGAGCAGCCGAGAAGAATAGGCAGCAGCAGCAGCAGCGACTTTCATCGGAGGGGTCCCTGAGATGAGGCCAGCTGCAGAGGCCCCCATCCACACACCCCAAACAGGCCCCCTTTGCCAACAGCCACAATAAGACTTTCCTTTGCCCCACAGCAAAGTCCAGGGGAGGGGAATGCCTCCTCCTCCCCCCCACTTTGCTGGAAAAACGCCCCAAAGGGCATCGCAAGGACAATCTAGAGGTTGCTGGCTGATGCCAACCGCACAGCTTGAGAAGTTGTAAATAAATTAAACGGAGAAGCTGAATTTTAATCAAAGAAAGGGCCTCACTTTTAGGATAGTGTTTTTGTTGCGCTCAGGTTTATTCGACACCAGAATCACAAGGTCCTGGATTCATACAGATCAGGCACTGGAGAGAATGATCTACGTTCTTACCACCCGCTCAAGGAAACATTATTTGCTTTGGTTGTTTCTCTACTTTAGAGAAGAAATTGAATTTAAGCAGAAACGGACGGGGGAGGGAACTGTAACCGGGCATCGGCCCCACCAAAAGAGGGGCTCTCCTTCTTTTTATGAGAATCATGCAAGATAATTTTTAGGAGTATTGTTCCTTAATAGCCATTCGCTGCAGAGAAAACATGTCAAAAACAAACATTGCTCCCTTTTCTAACCCAGGCCTTGAACCTAAAGATTTCAAACAGAGCGAACTGTCTAAAAGTATTCACAAGAAATGGCCACTCACTCCGTGCAGAGGAAGGCAACACACCTACACAATATTACACCGAGGATGAGTACACACATCATGCCACTAAGCCACTGAGATTTGCAAACCATACTTAATGTTGGATTAACTTGTGCTTGCTCAACAATTGTCATTCAAACCAATCTGGTTTCATGGAATCATGATCCCAGTTATACACACATATTCACACAACTGAGTTACACAGAAGAACACCAAACATATTAGTCCACAAATTAATCAAGGAAGGAATACACCTACGGCCTCTTTGGAGAGGTGGGCTGAAATCCCTACTCAGCCACCTTAGTACTAGTAGTATTTTTATTCACCATGGGCTTATTACTAAGCATAAGTACCAGGAATAAAACAACAGAGGATACAATAAAATATTGAAATCATTTATAACCTCATAATCTCACACCAAAAAGCCTCCAAAATAAAGGTCCATGAGATGTAACCACTAAACTTCCAGGTCTTCTTAGACACGGGTTAAGATTGAGATGTTTTAGGATTCTGAGGTGGCAAATTACAAGTTGTGATTCCACATAAAATTTGGCATGAGTGGAGTTGGACTTGATTTTTCAGGCACCTTGACTCTTAAAACCACCAGAAGGGCTGAATTGGGCCCTGTTATTAATACCCAGGATATGCATCCTGCTCCTGGCCCCCCTAAAACCCACCCACTGCTGCTCAGGCAGATTAAGCTTAGCTGCCTTTGTCACCTCCTGAGAATAAGGATTCTGTCTGCTAAATCTGCAAATAGGCTTGAGGGGAGAATGGAGAGACGGAGGACACCCAGAAAACCTTTCGTAAGGGGACGGTTTGTTACCTCCGGAGGGATGGAAAGCTGGCAGATTTTCACGTTCCTCCCTCTCACTTCCCCCTCTCCTGACCCAAAGAGGGGCAAAAGAGTGCCACCAGGCAGCCCATGGACAACCTGGAGAGGATGATGGGTGGGATATCCCCATATTGCTGGCATGGGGTGTCTGGGGAAGGCTGGAACAGGTAGACTGCACCTTCACAGGTGGATACGAAATGCTGAACGAGAAGCTTTGTTGGGATGGGAAGAGGCAGTCTAACCAGTCAGCCAAGCCCCCAGAACATCTGGAAACAGATTCTGAGAAGTCCATTGGCACAACAGCCACCCCTGGATCTGAGCCCAGGATGTGCTGGAGAAGACCACTTTCTGTGGAGCAGGTCGAGATGCGTCTCCTCTCTGGGGAAAAGTCCCTTTCCCTCCCATTGGGGTTGCATGGGGGGAGGGGGGGGTGAAAGGAGGCATTGGAAGTACCTCCGTTTGGGTGCCCAAGGGGAAGGCCTACAGGTCACTCTTGGTGGCTGCAGAGAGACAGTATCCCCCAAACAGAGCCCCCAGGCCTTTCTACCCCTCCTCAAACGGAAGGCCTCACCCTGGTCCCAGAGCCTCTCAGCCTCCTTCAAGGGAGCCTGGCCCCATAACCAAGCACGTCCCCATCCTTTGACACCAGTCCAGCCACCTTTGGGGGGCCCATTGTGATTGCAGCCGTCCCTTGAGTGGGCATCCTGAAAGCAAGGGAGACTACAACTCCCAGGATTCTTAGTAAGGATGGGAACCGAAAGGTGCCAAATCTTCTGCAGACCAGAGCCATGAAGTGGCTCCAAAAGACACCCTGCCGTTGGAACTTCGCTCTGGCAAACAAGAGAAAGTTTTTGCCTCGGGTACCTTCCTGTGGATTGCAGAGCCCAGCGGCAGATTAAAGGCCCGACACCACGGGGGATGCTTCCCGCACACAAAGCGCCCCGGCCAGAGAGAAGCCACTCACCGTTTTGGAGTCCAGCTCGTGCCTGGATTGGGCCAGCACCTTGTCCACCCCGGCCTGGTCCATGAACGTGACGAACCCGAAGCCCCTGCGCGGGATGCAGGGCCGGAAGGGAGGCAGCCGAGAAAGGGAGAAACTCGGTTAGGAGGAGGAGGGGGGGCGGCGGCAGCAGGCGCCTCCCGCCCGCCCGCTCGCTCGCTCGCTCGCCCGCCCCCGGGAGGGCCGGGAGCGGCCCAAGACACACCGGGGAGCCTCACCTGGATCGCTTGGTCAGCGGGTCCCTCATGACCAGGCACTCCTTCACCTCGCCGAACTGGCTGAAGTACTCCCGCAAGCCTTCTGCAAGCACACACAAGGCCACCCGTGGGGCTCCCAGGCGGGAAACGGCCGGCCGGCGCTTCGGGGCGATGCCCGCCGACTCGGGGCAGCAGCGGGGAGGGGCGGGGGGGGGAGAGCCCTCCCGGCCAGCGGGAGCCTTTCCGGAGCAGCGCTTCCCCGCCCTCCCGGCTCGGCCCCGCCATCTCCGCCTTCCCGGGCCAGCAGCCGGCGTGGGGGCGGGCGGGCCGGCTTCCCCCGCAGCCGCCCACAAAGCCCGCCAAGCCCCGGGGCCGGTCCGCAGCCCCTTCCCGTGCGGGCGGCGGCGGCGGGAGGGAGGGAGGGTTCGGGGGAGGAGCTGCGAAGTTTGGGGCGGCAGGTGCCGCCGCCGGACGACACCCGCACCCGGGACCCCCTCCCCGCACCGCACCGCTCACCTTGCGTCGTTTGCCAGCTCAGTCCCCCGATGAACATTTTGCTAGCGAGGGAAGAAAGAGAGCCGAGTGAGGCGGGCGCCGGCCGAGGGGAGCACCGGGGAGCCGCGCGTCGTGGCCGGGGGACGCCCCGCTCCGGGACCGGGCAGGGCCGGGGGCGCCGCGCACGGAGCCTCGGGAAGGCGCCGCCGAAGCCGAGCCCCGGAACTCCGGCGAGGGAGGGGGGCGCGGCGCCGGGCGGGGAGCGCGGGAGGCGGCCGGGGCGCCCCGAGATGCGGCGGGGGCGGGCTACCAGCCTAGCCTGCCGGCCAAGAAGGAGGCGCTGCCGGCGGCGTCGCGCGGGCGAGCGAAGCGGCCAGGAGCGCGGCGCGAGTATCGGCCATGTTGGCGGCTCCCCCCGGCCAGTCGGCCGGGCGCTTCCCCAGCCACGAGCTCCCGGGCATCGCGGGAGGCGGGGACGCCGGCGGCTCCCCGAGCGGCGGGCGGGCGGGCGAGGGAGCGCGCGGCGGAGGCCGGCCGGGCCGAGTACCAGGGATCGTGAGGAGAGTCCGGAGAGGCGAGGCCGGGCTGGCTGGCTTCGGTCTCCATTCGGGCTACTTCTCCCGGCGAGGACCAGCGCCACACTCCCGGGGCAGCTGAGCGCTGGAAAAGGGGCCGGACGGCCAGGCCATGCTGCCCCCTCCCCCGACCCCTCTCAGCCGGGCGGGGAGGGGAAGGGAGGGACGGGCCCGGCGGGGACAACCTGCCCGGCTCCTCCCACCCCCGGCAGGCGGGTGGCCGGCGTGAGCATAAAAGCCGGCCCGCCGGCGAGCGCGCAGAAGGTGGCTGCGCCCGGGCGAGGCGGGTGGCGTGGCGCGCGAGGCGGCCATGCACGCGGGGGTCGCGGCCAGCCGGCTCCTTGTCTGCCCGCCGGCTCCTCGCTCGCCACGCCGGGTCCCCCACCCCTTCCCAGTCACCCACGCGGGAGAAGCTCCGGTTCCCGGGTGCGCCGGGAGACAAAGGCTCCCGCCGAGGGATTCGCCTCGCCGCCTCCTCTGGGAAGCGGCGCCGGCCGGAGCGCGCCGGGCCGAACTGGGCCGGGCCTGGCGCCAATTCGGGCTGTGCCAGCTGCGATGCCGGGCGAAGCGTGGCCAGCAGGCCGCCGCCTCCCCGCTTTGTTCTCTACCTGCGGGACGAGGCCTCCATGGTCAAGGGCGGCGGGAGGGGGGGCTCCCTGCTCTTCCCGGGCCTGCCCGGCACTTCATTACTGGGGCGGGGGGGGGGGGGGGGGGGGGGGGGGGGGGCGAGGGAGGAGCCCGGGCGGCGAAGAGTTAAAGCCCATCCAGCCGGCAACAAGGACCAGCATGTGACTCGGCGAGCGCGGCCTGGAGGGCTCCGTGGGAAGGAGAAGGGCAGCAGGCAGGCCCGGCCCCCTCCCCCTCCCCAGCCCGACCCCAGCCCGAGGCTTTGCTCCGAGAGGCCTGCGCCGCGCGATCCATGGCCGGCACCTGGCTCGAAGCCAGGCGTCGCACCGGCCGGTGGAGCCCGCCTGCAAGGATGCCGGGGTGAAAGGCTGGCGGGCGAGCTGCGGCGGATGGCGCATGGGGGAGTCGGCCGCAGACCTCCGATGTGGGCCGGTCCCTCCTTGAGACCAAGAAGCCGGGAGATGCAGAGGGGGGGCTTCTGCACATGGGGTGCAGGCCCCTCCAGGGACCGAGATCGGAGGAGCTCCGCTGGCCACGGCCTTGGGAGGCCAAAGGCCCAAAGCCTGACCTGGTTGCCGTGTGGGGCCTTCCCTGGGCCCCAGGGCAGCAAACGAGGCCCCACTTTGTCCCTTTTCCCGCATGGGCCAGTCGAGGAAGGAGGAAGAGGGAGGCTACCAGAGGCCTTTGCCTTCTGGCCTCCGATTTTGAACATGGCCCAGGGCACAAGAGCAGCGGCACGGGAGGGTGGCCTATTGAACAGCCCCCTCTTCCTACAAATCCACTCTCCCCGTGCCAGAGTGAGTCCCTGAGCCCCTAACCCTTGGACTGTCCCCCTCCAATGCCACAGTGGCAAGCTGGAGTTGGTTCCAGGCCAATCTGAGGGCATCAAGTGACTAATAAGCTGCCATTGCTGGATTCACACATCGCTCTAAGCCCAAGTCCCAGTGGCCGACTTTACAGGCCACCCTCAGCTGAAGCAAGCAAACCACATGTTGCCTGCTGTGTGAACCCTGCCAGAGGATGCCCCTCCTGGCCTTCCATCACTGGTCCGACCCCCTAAAGGCAGCACACTGAGCCTGTATCCAAGGGGCATCACTTCCACCCAGGCCTCGATCCTGGCGGAGGTGGCATCTTGTCTTTGTGGCACCTTCAGGGCCATGCAGCCTTAGTCAGACAGGTGGGAGTGCTCCTTTATCCATTCAGACAGGCAGAATCCTTCAAGAGAGAATTCTTCAACTGATCCAGGACTTCACAGCGCTTCCACCTGCCCTCCCTCAAATTTCCAAGCCTCAGAAAAACATGTTGGAATTGAGAGCTACAAATTGTCCACAAGCACAGCGTGCGCGCACACACACACACACACACGTTGCTTAGCCTTGATTCACCTGCCTTGGCCAATACAGGGAAGTTCGCAGCCCTGATGGGTTGTACGTTATAAGCTAGGAATGGTAACATTTCCATCTCTGGGAACTGCAGCCTGAGTCCAGGGTGTCCTGGGGTGTGTGTGCTTTGCATCACTTCCCACACACTTCAACGTGCTGGGGAGTCCCCACTTTTTGAGGGAAAGGGCCTTCTCGACACCCAAGTTCAAGGACACGCCTTCTTGACACACCTGGTTCAAACTTGGGCCACCCTGTTTTACAATACGGTGTTCTCATTACCAGCCTGGATTATGCAGAAAATTTTTGCTAAAGAGCCTTTGCTGCCAGGAGTGACCTACTTAGTAAAAAATAAAAATGTTTTCCAGAAAGTTGTGCAAAGAAGGATTAGAATAGCTGGGTAAGATTTCAAAATCCTTCCTAGATTGGAATAAGGTTCCTTCTTGATGGCAGAGCTATTTCTGGGCACCAACAGGCCTTAGCATCACCAGGCAGAACGGAGAGAGTCTTGGTGCCCAAAAACTTTGGAGACCTGCCAACAGCACAGCAAGTAGACCCGAGGAATAAAAATCTGATTTGCGGTGTAACATATGAGAAAATTGGTATCACAAAACATTTCAAAGTGGCGAAGAAGAAAGGATGTGAGTCTCCCATCTATAGAGCCATCCCTGCGTTTTGTCTAAAATCTTGAGGTTCTTTGTTCAAACATCCGAGGAATGTTGAGAGACATTTTGGTAAGGCTAGGAGACGCCTGGACATTCAGACATTCCTCATTGGGATGAGAACTTTCAAGGAGCCATTCTTTCCCACCTTCTGAAATACAGAAAAGGCCCTGTGTGCAAAGGATTCTTCGGCCAGTCTCAGAAGATACTCCTCTGCTCTCCTCAACCTTCCAGGAGGGTTTCACAATCCAGAGATTGTTGCTTGCTGGAATAGGGCAACCCTAAGCAAAGGGGGCCTCCGTGTGTGTCTGCCTTCAGCTTCTAAAATCCCCGGTTGGAGGGCTAGATGTTGAAGCCCAGGATGGAGAAGGTTACCCCCAAAGCAATAAACTCTCAATACTTGGCAGGTATGATAGCACCAACTTCAAAACAGACGTGAGCAGAGAAGATTTCACACATACCCAGGTTGAACAAAGCAGTTGGCTAGGTAGACTCTGAATTGGAGCTAGAAGGATTCTTCTACCATCCAGCATATGCTAGCCCTAGCCCGCCCTTTTCGTGGTATGGATTGGCAGGGGTGGCAGACTAAGCTCCCACTCCTCTCCCAGAGTCCATATTGATTGACATCCCCCCCCCCAAAAGTAGTAACTAACTCTTATCAAGGAGAGAAGCAACCTGCAATTAAGGAGAAACTTCCTAATCAGTGGAACCGAAGTTGCCTTCAGAAGTTGTGGGTGCTTCATCACTGGAGGCTTTTAAGAAGAGACTGGACTGCCATCTCAAATGGTATGGGGTCTGCTTGAGCAGGGGGCTGGACTAGAAGACCTTCAAGATCCCTTCCACCTGTATTCTGATTCAGTTAAGAGCTGTGGTGGCACAGTGGTTAGAAGGCTAACTCTGCTGACTGCCAGAAGTTTGATTCTGACTGGCTGAAGGTTGACTGGGCCTTTCATCCTTGCAAGGTGGGTAAAATGAGGGCCCAGATTGTTGGGGGCAATATGTAAACTGCTTAGAGAGGGCTGTCAAGCACTGTGAAGTGGTATATAAGTCTAAGTGCTATTCCTCTTGCTCTCGGGCCCATCAAACCCTGCTAGTGGCAGCAGATGTCTGGATGGAGGATGGCACCTCTTGACCAAAACCGGGCAACATGCAGGCCCACAGATGCCCCTTAGATATCCCTCTCCTTTGCCGTCAGCCATGGACTGGGCCTGGGAGTGATGATAGGAAGGCCACCAAGTTGTGTCATGCTATCTGGGCCACACAATGTCCTGAGTGGGTGCAGAGTGAAGGACAACCACAAGTCTGCTCCCAATCACTTCAGGCCTTCTGCTGCTCCATTCGGAGCTCAGCATGGGGACGGGTGATTTCTCAGAGCAGGATCTTGTGAATCTTCCTAAGGCTTTTTCAGGCTTGGGGAGGGCATTCTGCAATGCAAGACTCGATAGCTCTGTTCACAATATAGGTAGTCCTCATTTAACAACCATAATTGGCATTGGTGGCTCAGTTGTTAAGCAAAGCAGTCACTAAGTCAAACTGTGACCGGCTTTTTGACTTTACTTCAGCTTCCCTTCACTTTACAGGCTTGCGAAGGTCATAAATGCGAGGATTAGTCCTAAAGTTACTTTTTCATCACCATCGTAACTGCAAATGGTTGCTAAATGAGCTATTTGTTAAATGTGGACTACCTGCATGCTAAACAAGCCAAATTAGCAAAAAGCCAATGTGTTTTGCCTCGTACATATGCGATTTATCCAGGGGTGGGATTCTACCAGTTCGTACCTATTCTCTAGAACTGGTTGTTAACATTCTAAGCAGTTCAGAGAACCAGTTGTTAGAAGAAATTACAGGGCTAATCCCGTAGGGAAGGCAGGAAGGAAACATTCTGGTGTTGCTTACAGAAACTGCCTCTCCGTTAACCCTGCTTACATTCTTGGCAGGACTAGACTTCCTGTCTCAGGAACTTCTCTGGAGTTTTTTTCCCCTCTTTTGCTGGTACTTTGCTTGTGTGGAGTGACCATTCAAAGTTACAATGGCACTGAAGAAAGTGACTTATGACCATTTTTCACATTTACGACTGTTGCAGCATCCCCACAGTCATGAGAGGCCAGGCGAGGAAATGAGTGCCTCGATGTGAGTGATATTGAGTTGGCCACGCCCAGCCAATAACATGACCACCAGGCCATGCCCACCACCTAAGCCACGCCCACAGAACCAGTTGTTAAAAAATTTGAATCCCATCCCTGGATTTATCTTATGACAACTCAGTTCACACAATGTACTAACATAAAGGCAGTGACTGGATTCACAAACATAAGTTCCATTTTAGCTTAAAAACTACTGTGATGACCAGGGGCGTGTCACAAAAACAACAAAGTCACAAAAATAGGTAAGTTCCCTTTAATACCTTCAACTTGGCCCCCAATGTCCAGTTATCATCGGCTGGAGAAAAAACTCTCCCAAAACCGTTTACAAAGGAAAGAAATGCAGTCCGAACCC